TACTTTGTAACGCAATGAGGTCACGGCTCTAAAAGAGTTGAAACAAACTCTGCTTTAAACCTCACCGAAGCAACACAACAATAGTCATCATGAATAAGACAGAAAAAACAAAAGAGGCCAAAGTGCAACTCAACAACAGAGTTCACTTCAAACCTCTCAAAGCACCGATAGTAAAAAACACGTAGGAAAGGGTTAATGAGATCATTGACCAAATGCATCGGGGAAAACACATTGATGGCTTAGAAATGGCTTTCACAAACTCCCAATATCCGCCTTCGGATACACAATTAGCCATTGCCGAAAACTATTTTTACTAATCACCCGATCATTTCTTACAAAAAAGGAAAATCCCTTACGACAAGCAAAAATACAGTTCGAAGGCGATAAAGCGATGCGACCACAAAAGCCACATGGGGAGTCCGTGCCGTTCTGTGTTTATCTTTATTCGCATGGCAAAAATTCATCGTTTGTCGGCGCAAAACTATCCACAGAAGCTTCAGATGATTTCTGGGACAATTCATCGTCTGAAAAAGTCGACATTTCCCGACTGACAACGAAACAGTTCTCAAAAAAGTAATATGTGTGATTCTCTGTGCAGCGAACAAAGAGAGTTGTGACAAAGCAAAGCATAAGTTTGTTGAGCCTTTGACGTCATGATGACGTTTTTGCGAGCTCGGCTGGAACATGTTTTCAGCAATGGCGGACGATTTTTGGACGACTTTGAAGCGGTAAAAATTGGTCATCGAAGGTTTGTTTTGAGTTTTTAATGGCAAAAAGGGTCTTAACTTGACCCAATTCAACATTGTGTGAACAATTTAGGCCAAAATAAAATGGTCAATTTTCGTCTCAGGGGCACTTTAAAAAGAAGCAAAATGACTTGAGATATTCCAATCATACATTTTTTTCCGTAGAGTTTTCCAACCTTCAAACCAAGGTTTTAAGGCTTTGTTACATCAAACGAATTTTATGATTTTTCTGACACTTTTGTATCGTGCTTTTATTTGGTTAAGCGACTATAGGCCGTTAATCGTCAAAAGAAGTACATAACTCAACTAAATTTGTACAAAACGACCTGAGAATGGCAAGGGTTACCCGGAAAAAGTGTTGCGAGACAAGTTAGACTTTGGAGTAAAAAAAATAATAAAGATAATGGGATCATCGTGCATTTTTTTTTCAATTACTTAAACTATTTTATACTTGAATATTGTGACCTTATGGGGAAAATCCAGGGAAGTACTAGAGGGCGAAAAAAACAAAAGTCGCCACCGATCGCGCGTGTGTTAACCGTTAATTTATATTCAGGTGACAAAGAGATAAATATGGCAGCTGATGGAAACCTGGCTGTTGCTGAAGTCGACAATAGTTCCCCAGGTAACGAAGAACTTAAACTTTGTCAGATTACAATCATAATTACAATAATACAACTCCAACTTTTATTTGTCAACTATGATGAACGTAACGAATAATCTTGCTGTCACGACAGTCGAACAGACCAGTCGTCAATTGCGCGATCATTGATTTCGTCCAAGAAAAGTGTTTGTGATCAAAAGAAAATTTATTTATTACGATAAAGAGAATCAGCACAAGAGGGAATTACAGAGCACACAATATGCGACAAACAAAAACAAAACAAAACAAAAACAAAAACAAAAAAAACAATGAAAGTCTTTTATTTGTCATTTCTTTAACAGACAAAAGTAAGGCTACTTCCGGTGACAAAAACCTGGATTCAAACAGTGCTTTTTTAGAAGGTGATTAAGTCAGAAAACTCGGTGAAATTATTGAATTCTTAACCGACAGAGGGTGAGCCTGGTATAGAAAAGAAACATCCCAGAATATAAAGAAATTTCTTCTGCAAAAAGACTGGTGGGCGTTTATAACGAAGATTTTTTGCATCAAGACTGAGGCGAGATCCACAAAAACTCCAAAAATCATTAACGAACCAAACTAACAAGGGACGGTTTAAAAGATCGGCGACGAGAATTGGTGATGTAAACAATTAATTCTGAACATCGTTTACCGAGCCACAATGTTGATTAGGACTCTGCAAGATCGATGTTTAACCGAATTAAGTTAAGCGACTGCCTCTCGGAAACCGAATGACTTACTTGGGGCAGATTCTTCTCAACAGAAGGGCATACCGTAAAAAGCAAGAGATAAAAGAGTAGGATACAAAAGACCGTTACAAATTATAATTATTTATGCTGTTATCATTACCCGTTTCATTTTAGTTATCAAAGAGGCACAAGTTGAGGCAGCTGAAGGAAACGAGGACTTTGCCGTCAACAATTCGTCAATTGAGAAATTGATTGTTGATCAGCTTTTAGCATGTGCCATTGACACAAACTCGATGGGGAAGAGTTTGATTTGTTCAAAAACAGGGTCATTACATCGATTCAACCAAACTGATACCTTGTTAGTCTAATCTGTATGATACCTTGTTAGTCTAATCGGTAGGTCTGTCGATGTGTATGGAAATCAAACTGTATATTCCATGAATTACGCATTCATCAAGGGTCCCTAAGTGAAAAATAAGTTAAGTTGTATTACGCGCAAAAGTTATCTCATATATCTTTGCTATTACTTTACTTTTTGCCATTTTGGCCACTAGTAACCGTTTTGCCATTTTGGCCACTAGTGGCTGTTTTGCTATTTTGGCCACTAGTACGTCATTTTGCCATTTTGGCCACTCGTGGCAATTTTACCATTTTGGCCACTAGTAACCGTTTTGCCATTTTGGCCACTAGTGGCTGTTTTGCTATTTTGGCCACTAGTACGTCATTTTGCCATTTTGGCCACTCGTGGCAATTTTACCATTTTGGCCACTAGTGGCAGTTTTTGGTCCGTGCACGGTTCGTCCACTCATTATTTTTAATGTTATAATATATGTTGAACAACAGTCAAAGCCAATGCAGAGTCTTGTTTTGTTTTTTCACTCCACATTATACCAATACAGAATCTGATTTTACTTGAAACACATATCGTTTTATTAAATTTGAAATCAAAAAATGAAGAAAAACGTCAAATCTACAAAAATTGCCAAAATTTTAGAAATAATCATCTCTTTACTTCTGCATTATGATAAAAAGCCAAAAACAAAATCGACTTCTGTTTTATCGTTTTTCGTTTTATGTGCAAGTTTAAACAGAAAAACGAAAATTGACTTCCGTTTTATCGTTTTCTGTTTTTTGCCTAAACTAAAACAAATGAAAGAAAAACGAAAATCGACTTCCGTTTTATCGTTTTCTGTTGTTTGCCTAAACTAAAACAAATAAACGAAAAACAGATTTTGAGTTTCGGTTGGTCGTTTCCTGTTTTATTTAAGTGCCTTTGGGGGTACTCAACCTTATGCAAAATGGGAGGGGGAGGGTAGGGGGAGTCCTGTATATGGGAGGGGTTAACGCTCATTTGCAATTTTAGCGGGAACTCTTGACCAGTGATAAGCCCTCTTATATTCAGCTCTTAAGTCGCTATTGCTGATTGGCTAAAGCCATGCGTTTGTACAGCACTATGCTTTGAGCGCGACACGTCGACCTTGTGAGGAAAAAACGTTTCGAACCGTCAGTCGCGGCCGTCAAAGTTGCTTTTTCATTTCAAAAGTGTTGTAACGAGACAGAAGTACAGGCTGTAGACCTATAGAGAAGACCAGAGTAGTGTGCTATGTATGTTATCTTGGTGGTGGTGCTTTGATCGCGTAATTAATGGAGGAGAGAACATTCGTCCTTTGGCGCGCACAGCAGCGAGTGAACTTCACTGAAGGTGACTTGACAGCTGATCGTATTTCGGCAGTGTTTAAGGTAAGACCAAGGGTAATACAGCATCTTAGTGGCAATAATATAATAGTATATATGACCATAACATTGACAAGAATTTCCACTATTTGTATGGGCGAAGGAATATATCGCTTTTCGTTCGGTTTTTATTTTTTTTTTAAACCTCGCAAATACCAAGGTTGAGTGTTTCGTTTTCCTGCGCGGCTCAGTAAATAGCACCCGATAATGAAGTAGCAGTGCACATCTCTATTTTAAGAAAGATTTGTTTCCGTTTGTCTTGTTTTTTATGTTTTGAGCGCTGACTCTTCCTTGTTTCAAAATATTTTTAGATTGAGAGGAGGTCCACAGTTGAACAGACCAAACCACGTCACACTGAATCAAATTAAAAAGATAACAACAATCCAAAAAAATACACCCTAAACAACACAGTTGATGAGCAAAAATACAAAACATTTTAAAATATAATTACTTTGATCACAAATAAAGAAGCGACCTAATTTTTTCCCTAATGGAATCCGAAATAGTTAATTGATTCATTGATTGATTTTGAACCTGCTTTAGTCGCAGGCATGTGTTTGTTTCCACAGACTAGACATTTAGTTGTCGACAACTATTCGTTATTCGCAACTGAAAAACGTAATGTGTGAGACTAGATGGCGGCAATTACGCAGTTTCCCTTTTGGGGAAACTGCATTAGTTGTCGTCAAGTAATAGTTGTCTAGGATTTCTCAAGCTCTCGCTAGCCTGACTTAGTTATCGACAACTAATCCTCCAATTTGTGCAGCAAATGTGTGCAGTGCTTTAATATTTAGTTGTTGATAACAATTGTCGACAATGGAATGTCTAGTCTGTGGAGGCCCTGCAGTGAATGTAATTGCGGTAATAACAAAGCACTGTTCTCCGATGGCCACCGCAAAAACCCAGTTCAATCTGGTTCCTCCTCAGGCGCTTCGATTTTAGTCGCAAACAGGCGAGCTCGACGCAGGAGAAACGAGCAATTCAATGGTTTTCCTGTCTGTCTTGCGAGTTGCGAAATAGTACAGGGAGAGATGTAATCTCGTGTTAGCCAACCGGGACTAAACTTGCTCAGGTTGCCAGAGAAAAAAACAAGAATTCGTGGTTTTTTTGATAGTGGAGAAACTCTTTCTGTATACCTTCAGAGGTGTCTCGCACCCAAGCGATGTAGCGCGTCCCGTTTAAATTGAAGATACCTAAACTCCTGTATTAAAGTGAAGCTTATACAACTGTGGCTATCAAACTATACTAAGAATAGTAAAAAAAAATGAGTTGCCGAATTTTTCATGATCACTAAATGCGAGCTCCCGAATCACCTTTTGAAGGCTACAAGTGAAAGCCAATTGTGTTTTTGATCAATTTAATTTTTTCCTCGGTTTCAGGCCCAAAGCGCTAAAAGAACCGTGTCTGCGTTTTGCCATAATCCGTTGCAGTAAAACGTTACAGGGCATTTTTGAAATAGGTGAAAAAAATATGGAGTGATTGTAAAAAAAATATGATCTCGGAAACAAGGTACTATTTAAATTTGGGGGCAATCGAACAAATTCCCTTTGAGTTATAGCTGTTCTTTAAAGTGTGCTTCAAGCGAAAAAAATTATGTGAGAAAACAGCGTGAAAAAAAAAAACTCACGCTTCGCAAACAAACTCCGCCCACCAATGCCTTCAACTAGGTTCTCACATAACTGAGCCAATTAGAGCAAACTGAAAAACTCGTGTGTTTCACGATGCACTGAAGGCGGGGAATAATTTTTCTGTAGCTCGGTTTTTCTTGAAGCTGGACTGGCAAAATGGGGAGGACGAGAAAGGATACATTAACGTTGCAGTGGCTGGGCGAACATAACAAACAAACGAAAGCGCGGCAGACACACCCTGGCAAAGCAATTGTGCATGGATAATATTCTAACGATTTCTCAGTATCGGACTCATGGGAAAAGTCTCTTTCGGGGGGGGGGGGCATATATGGGCTATATAGGTATGTGCCGCAGGATAGGGTAAGGTTTTTTAGGTTCTCGATCTTTAAATAGGGTATCGTTTTTGCCCCTGTGAACAATGTGTTCCCAGCGCTATCCTTGGATAGGTTACCTAAATTGTATCAACTAAAATTGCAGTGCAAAAATGCCTAGCTAAACGAAAAAAAAATTATCTGCGGAAACCAAAATATCCAGTACAAGTATTTAATTGCAAACTGATGTTATAAAAATGTGCGTTGTGCCGCGCGCGGTTAGCCGTTGTTTGTTTTTTATTCCCCTTGAATAGAGTGTCATTCTCCGGGTTTGGGTCTTAAATAGGGTATCAATATCTGTTTGCTTCATACTTAGATAGGGTCAGGGTTTAAGACCGTTCGCGGCACACACCTATCTGAAGTTTACGGGAGTGCGCCTCCCCCGTCTCTTTAAACATATCCCTGTTACCGCTGTCAAGTTTCCAAACTCTTAGAGAACCTCTTTCTTCTCTGCAGTAAAACCTCCATTTCTTCGCCAAAATCACCTTTTTCAAAAACTTTTTCAGAAATTAGACATTACTCTTTGACCATTAAAATTGACCAAAAATCTAAATTTGAAGAAAATTCACCATCTGAAGGTATGCAGAAACGTATTTTTCAGTAGAAGCGCAAATCTGATAATCTGTCATGCTAAGTACTCGCAGGTCACTCTCAGCGACCCGTCTGTATTTTTGTTTCAAAATTCAAGTTCCTGAAAAACAGTCGGGAGGCAAAGCCTGATGAAAATCTGAGAGTTGATTCTGTTTAAATGGAGTGACTTTAGGGGAGGCACATGATGGGCCCGAATTCCCGCAGCTACTATATGTGTAAAGAAGTGTTAGCCCAGATTATACTGAAAATACCATAGTGAATGATAACCAATACCCATTCATATGACTTTTAAAACACTTTATTTGCAAATTTTGTAAGCAAAACTCTATTCATTTTAGATACAAAGAAATGGTATGTATCTCCAAGACGATTTTAGCCGGTTAGCTCGATTTCCCAACTCTGGGGGAAATTTTGAGACAACTTTATGGCGGGAGAGGTCATCCCTTGAAGTAAAGAGGTCAAATACAGAAGTACCCGGCACGCCCACAACCTTTCAAGTTCCATCGCCCCATGATTTTGGATTGTCGCCATTACCATCATCTGCAGCCACTTCAGCATCGTTCCAAGTTCCTACTCAACACATGCCTTGTTCCAGCAGGACTCCCACTGCCCTAAACAGAGCCACCAAACAGTCGGGAGAAGTAAGAAGAAAAGTATTCCTGGCCGAACTCGATCCTGACAGTGGAAATCCCATCCCCACTGCAACAGCCTACTTGAAACTAACTCCAGAAAAATGCACAGTGGTAGACGTTTCCCAACTTTCCAAAGAATACCTCAACATAGAGGATGACTTGGTTATTGTGGTCAAAAACGGCTTTGAGATCCTCGATAATTCAAGCACTCGAGGTAAGAACGCGATTATTATATCAGGAAATTATGATGCAAAAAGTTATCAATCGTGTGGCTAAAAAAACAGGAGCCCAAAAGTATAGGCAATTAAAGGTTTTATGAACATACATTGGACCAATCAAAAAGTTTGAGGACGGATTTAAAAAATACTTTATGCTTGAGTGCCCTTAAAAATCTCTGCCGGTCCATCCCCAGGCTGAGTCAGGAATGAGGTTAAAAACAAATATTGATAAAGAAAATTATCGCTTTAAATGCAGGACCTGAATTCTGGGGAAAAGGAACAATGAAGATATATGCCTGCCGAAAGGTAGAATACGAGCGCATGAAACAGAAAAGAGCCAAGATGACGTCCAGAGACGTAAAAGGAAAAGAGGCAGGTTTACGAATGCGCCATCACTCGCTGAGTATTCAAATATCAATCTCATCTTGGATGAATTAGATGACATGGAAGATCTCATCCAGCGCCACACGAATTGCTGCAAGAGGCTACTCGATTTAGAAAAAGCTCTGGCCACCGCATTCAAGTGCACCATATGCCTGAATATTTTTCCACCAGATGGTGTCGAATTTGCAGGTTGCTGCCAGCGTCTTGTTGCTTGCGTTGAATGTGCCGAAGAATGATATCAAGGAAGCAATTCCTGCCCACTCTGCAGAAGCGAGGAAGGAGGCAGCAAGAGGCAACGGGCACGTGGATTTGAAGGGGTTCTAAATCGTATTGAACCAACATAGAATATTTCCTAAATCTTGTTAAACATTTGACACATTCGGTTTGTGTCGAAAAAAAGGTTGTGTTGCCTTACAGTTGTAGTAAATCGAACGGCGTCGTTTACATTTTACTCCAAAGTTTGTCAAACATATTATTTCTATCAAAAATACTTAACAAATAGACTGTCTCCTGTTCTTGTTAATATTTTTGGATTGCACTACGAAAGGAACATGTTTAGTCTCCTGTGAGAAAAAACTAAAAATTATTGGCGAGGTGTCTTGTTAGCTGTATGTAGTATGAGATAGCATCTCTTAAAAATACATAATTTCCATTAGCAATTGCCTGAAAAATTACATCAAAACGTGGAAAATAGTTCTTAAATGCTGTTTTTCTAATATCTTTCTTCGCTAGCTGTTGCTCCAGCGGATCGATTCCAAAGGTTTGGTCTGTAGTCAAAGTCCCACTGTACATTTGAACAGCTACTTGGACCGTTGGTACAATGTTTCTGTTAATGGCCACCGCCCTGATTTTTGCCCATCTTCTTTCCAGTGGAACACCTTTGCCTTCCTAGCAAATGAAAAAATTTCAGTAATTGTCCTCGTTATGAAATTAATAAAGGGTACTTTCCCTTTTTTAAGCACGGTCAAAGGCGAAAAACATCGTGTGTGAGTTTAAACTGCTCGCTAACTGGTGCTCACCAGCAGTAGCTCGTCGTACAATCAGTGAGTACTCACAAGCAAATCAATTAATCAAATCGCGGCGAAAACACCGTCTGTCTTTGTAATTATTATTATCAATTAGCAAGAAAGGATGATTTGTAGCGGGAGCCGGTTACCTGGAATTGGGTGCGAGTTCCAAGAGCTAACAGCGTACTCTATTCCCACTTCTACAACTTGTCTCGTTATCCAGGAGACAGTATTTGGTAACTTCATCCTTCCATATCGATGACTCCTTCATTTTCCATCTGGACAAGTGCACGCTTCACAGGATAGTTAGTGCGACAGTTCATTTCCACCCACAGTCGTTCCACCGCACGGTTCTATAAGAAGAAAATTTTGCGCTGATGCTAATTGGCACCGCCGTAAAGTCTTTCACCTACTTTGGTCATTATTTACTTGTTTTGACAGTCTGTACATCGGGCTGCCTTGTATTGTTGTTTCGATACAGTTTTAGCATTTCTTGTACAAACAACCACAAGCTAAAACTCCTTGCCATGATCTACTCTAACTTGATCCCAGAGACCGTAATGTAGTAATGTTTCCTTAGAACAAAGATAAAGAGCACTTAGAAAATGTTTTCCTTACATTATTGCTATTATAATTGTTATTATTGCAGTTACAGTTATTATTATACAACAAATTAGCTTAGCAACATTGCTGGGTGGCATCAAGCCGCCTTAGATTCATTCATCATTGGCATCAAGGACTTACCTAAACACCTCCTGGTAAATAACAAAGTTGTTCTTTAATGGCATAACAGACTTAGCCATAATAAGTGAGCTATAGCCATCAACATCAATAACTTCTGTTACACCGTAGCGAATTAGTTTCTCATTTTGATCAAGGTGGAGTTTATGACCAAAATATTCTGTGTAATACGGAACTGGATTGAAATGCCGCGTAGTTGATGTCTGTCGCTCGCGATGATACTGAGGGTTGACTCTTTTGAGTGATTATCCCACTCTGTTTACTCCAACCCGCAAACCTCTTGAATGTCTAAGATGGCCTGTCATCATCTTTCTTCCATACGTAGAACCAACCTTGTGCGAAACATGAAGAAAGTGTGTCAAGATAATAGCTAGACAAACATTGCAAGCCACTCATTAAACGAGTCGACTGAAACTGCGCCAGTGAATTAAACAGTTCATTGTAAATCCGTTCTTATTTCTTTGTTAGAGATGGAAGCGACTGTTTTTTTAATATTACCTTGAAAAGCAAAAGCAGAGAGATTCAATTTTATGGTAGAATGGTAATGATCTCATGAGGTTAATTACTATCACTGTACTACATAGAGCGATTAAGCTCGCTGAAAAAAGTTGCTGGCAAAATCATCACTTAGGGCCCGTACGCACTAGGCCGACAAAATTTAAATTGCGTCAAAAATAGCTTCTGAGTTTCTTACTCTACGCAATAATAGACTAGATACCGCAGATAATTACCTCGGCAACAGCTGACGAAACAACAGCATCAAGGTCTGCTTTCGATAAGCTCCTATCTCGACTGCGAATGCTTTGTACCGCCGCCTGGATAGCTCAATTGGGAGAGCGCCGGACTGCTGTGCGGGAGGTCGAGAGTTCAATACCGGCCGGACCAACACTCAGGGTCTTAAAATTAACTGAGAAGAATATGCTTCCTTTCTTTAACATCAAGAAATGGTTAGATATTCTAGTCTTCTCGGATAGGGACGAATAAATGGAGGTCCCGTCTCCTGCAGGGTTAGGGGCAGGAGACGTTAATTTCCCACGCACGAGATTACTGTGTGATGGATGTCCTCCCCTGGGGTGGGATGGGTGGGTAACAGGACCCCCGTTGATACCAGTGTTTACTACACTGAAGGGGCTATCCTGTATAAATATAGATGTCTGTCTGTCTGTCTGTTGCGCGCAAAATCTTCTCACGCTTCTCTCCGATAATCCATTCACTTCAGGGTAAGCCCGTCGCAGTAGAAAGCTTACTTCCTTGTGGCTTTTCTTGTCATTTTCCACAAGTTCACGAAGATAGTTATGGATACCGAGGCTTTCGATCTCCATTCTTGGTCGAAAATTCCCGCCAAAACGATAACGTACCCATATATTTCAGTGCTTAAATCTGCTGACCAGTCACTTGGTACAACTGTAAGGGGGAAAACTTCCTCCGACTTCCCCGACCCCTCCTACGGAAGGGTCTGGGGAAGGCCTTGCCCTATCTCTCAACCCACTCACCCCATGCCCCTAAAGGAAACGTGACATAACGGAAGTAGATTTTCGCTGTCATTTTTTGTTTTCGTTCCTTTCGTTTGGTTTGGACCAAAAAAAAACAGAAAACGATTCGACCGAAGTCACTTTTTATTTCTCGTTTATTTGTTTTAGTTTGGGCAAAAAACAAAAAACCATCAAACGGAAGTCGATTTTCGTTTTTCGTTTATTTGTTTTAGTTTAGGCAAAAAACAGAAAAAAAGATAAAACGGAAGTCGATTTTCGTTTTCCGTTTATTGGTTTTAGTTTAGGCAAACAACAGAAAACGATAAAACGGAAGTCGGTTTTCGTTTTTCCGTTTATTTGTTTTAGTTTAGGCAAAAAACAGAAAACGATAAAACGGAAGTCAATTTTCGTTTTTCTGTTTAAACTTGTGAAAAACGATGAAACAGAAGTTGATTTTGTTTTTGGCTTTTTATCATAATGCAGAAGTAAAGAGATGATTATTTCTAAAATTTTGGCAATTTTTGTAGATTTGACGTTTTTCTTCTTTACATTAATCAGGTAAAGTGGTTTTGATTTCAAATTTAATAAAACGATATGTGTTTCAGGTAAAATCAGGTTCTGTATTGGTATAATGTTGAGTGAAAAAACAAGACAAGACCCTACATTGGCTTTGACTGTTGTTGAACATATGTTATAACATTAAAAATAATGAGTGGCCGAACCGTGCACAGACCGGGTTGTTATTAGAGAGGTGCCAATTTTCTCGACCAGTCATGGAGAGAAAGGAAAATAAAACCAATGCAGGGTTAATTTTTACATTTAGCTGAAAATTTCCCTGTGGGAACGTTGCAAAAAAGTGAATTAAGAGTTCGAACCGATCTGGTACAAAATTTTTGATATCTTCCAATAAAACGAAGTGAAATGTTAATGTTTTCGGGAGGAACTCTAATTACTATTGTCGTACGAGAAAAAAAGGGGTGATGTCTGTAGCCTAAAAAAATAAAAAGGCAACCTTGAAAAATTGTAAGTTGAAAAAGTGACCCATTCATCTTGAAAATTACTTACTCCGGCTTCTTGAGTGCGTAGGAAACCTCTCAAGTGCATGCATAACTCAAGAGCGGACGCTGTGGGGTTTACCGTTTGTTTTATAGCATAACTTTGATACATTGTAGCAAAAGAGTTCCTATTTATGTAACAAATATTACGTGACCAGAGAAAAACAAGCGCGCGGAAACAGTAATCAGTAATATAATGAAACAATAACCAGTAATATAATGACTACTTCAGATAAAGAATCCAAATCTTGTATCCCTTATCGGGCCGAAAGTTTCGAGAAGAGCTTTATATCACTCACTACCCCTGTTTAACGCTGGGGCTTAGGGAAGCTCAAGTTGTAGTAAAAAACGGTGGTAAAAAAATAGTGGAAAAATAGGGGGAAATTAATAAAACCAATCCCACTATCACCACAAAAAAACTCGAAATAGTTGTAAAGAGGCCAGTTTAAAAGCGAATAAGATACTCTTTTTACTATCACCTCGTATCCCTCTCTTAGAAAACTTTGAAAACAGCCTGGATGATGCCACAGTTGCTGTTCAATTAGAGCCAACTTTCACCAAAGCCTTGAAGAAAGGTAAGTTTTATTTCATCTGCCATTCAGGCCTTGTTATCAGCCTTGTTATCGTAGAATTTCCCGGCTCAAACCTACGTGTTCACACAGAACAAAATATCATTTGTGAATTGAAAATACCAATCTCTTCTCAGAAGAGGCACTTAACTATTTCACACCAAACATTATTTTTATAGGAGCTGAAGCTTGTGTGCAGCTTAACTTGTATGATGAAGCAAAGATCTGGTGTCAGAAAGGACTAGCTGTATCCTTTGAAAAAGTGCATTCGTATAGAAGATTTAAAACGCGCTTCGACGGACAGTCAGACATGTATTAAGCGATCACTATGTATTAAGCGATCACCCTGTATTAAGCGGACCATTGTCAAAGTACCGAATTTGTTTCCCCTTAATTACTGTAATTTCACCTTTATTAAGCGGTCGTGGTCATCTTTGAGTGAGTCCCAACGGCGTTTTTTTTAGCATTGTCCTCCCCTGTATTGAACGGTCACTTAAATCGGAACCACGTTTTCCACGTTATCCTATTTGCCTTCTCAACTCACCAGGTCTCGCAAAGAGGCAACGAGCAAAACATCCATCGTTTATGGCAACTACTTTCGATCCCATTTTGAGATTAAAACTATGGTGCTGAATAATTAGCAAAATCAGCTTAAAAGAAGATGTCTAAATCCAACTGTTTCAAAAGGTAATCGGAATACAAACTACTCAGTGAAAATGCAATTGTTCCACTTTTGCCAATTTCGACTCTGCAGATGTTCTATTTGTCGCTCTGTGCCTTGCTGTTGCTGTTCAACTCAAGAATATTTTGAATTGTGATCTGTCCTTCTTTCCTGATCGCTCTCATCTTGGTCCTCGTCACCTTATTCAAAGTCTGGTTCCTTTGTTGAAATCCTCCTGCCATTAAACAGCTTAGCAAGGATAACACGTAAAGAGGCATGTGGTGTCGACCTCTTTGTCAGAGGATAGGTCTGATTGCCATAGGTATGGCTGGGCTTAGCGCGCACTCGTTTCTTTGAGCACTGATATTGTTTACAGGTCTCCCTTTCCATTTATTGAAGGCTACAATTTGTCTTGCAATGATAGATTCCCTGCTCGTTCAATGTTCGGGGACGTATAGGGAGAAGCCGAACTCATGTCACACTGCAGTATTGTCGACACGTGGAAGACTTGGTGGTTAAAAGTAAATGAGCCAATTTGAGCCAATGGTGGAGGCTTAGGCAACCAACTAAATTTCGTTCTTACAGAAATCATGCCATGAACTACATCAAACGTAACACCAACCTTTCCACTCTGACTGATGGTTTAGATGTGGGTCCAAAGACCTCTTTAATAGCTTTGAAATAAGGGATAAGCTGATATGATCTTTGTCCCGGTAGGAAACTACTTAAGCTCTCAAAAGCTAAAAAGACAGCCTCTTTTTCCGTCTGGATTTATCACCGCTAAACCTAGCCTCGCTTAGGCTTTGGCTCGTAAATCCATCTGCTCTCCTCGCTCCTACCCCTCCTTGCCCTACCCCTCCTTGCACTAATAAAGCTCAGCGTTAATACCGATACCCAGACGGTTCCTTTCATTAGCTTTCATATGGTCATGGTCCTCTGCCATAAACATCGTCCTCTTGACTTTTTGGATGTACGGTGCAACTATTGCTAGATTCTCGATTATGTATGGCGGTTATTTAAAGATTTCCTTTTCCTTTAGCAAAATATGTAAACCCTCTCAACCAAAAACAGCACCTCTGGTTAGGCTCTCACTACGAGCTTGTGGCATTTATCGGCTGCATATCTACCACTATAATTTCTAGGGGGCTAATCTCGCTCTCGTCATCGCCGGGGCCTCAAGAATATCAGATTCTCTAGGTAAAGGCATCATCCGAGCTATATCTCGCGCTGTTTCAATTTATTCCCTTGCTATCGACATTTTGCACACTTGGTTTGCACAGGAAAAATGATATTATTATCCATTGCTCTTGCATGTACAACCGACACCAATAACAACAATCTTACAAACACGCGTCAGTTTTAATTTTGGGCATTTTTGAGACATAGGAAGGTGAAGGTGCAAATCGCGAACAGGCGGCGAAGATAGTAGCGCGCCTCGTTGGCCAAATATGTCTTAGTCACGTGTAAACTCGTCACCATGCACAAGTGGTTTGTCTTAATGTCTCTTTCTTTCCGCATTTATGTGACACTCATTTTATTTTCCTTCTAAATTAAAGGTTCCCTTTGGATTGCGAACACGCTTTGATGCTGGCCCTAGTCAAAGTTGACATCTTTTAATCTGCTTGCCATTCTCCTTATAATTCTTTTGTTTTCACAGCTTTCCTCAATCTCTGACCACTGTTCAGGTAAAAAAGCCTACTCAGGAGCCATGTGGCTCATCGGGCCGGCGCTTAACTCCGGTTTCCGTAGCATGAAGCGACTAGAGGTAATTCTACCCCCCCTGGATGGAATGCTAGTCCATCGCAGGGTTACCCCCAGCACTAAATTCGCCGGTACCCATTTAAACACCTGGATGAAGAGAGGCACTGTGAGAGTAAAGTGTCTTGCCTAAGAACACAACATAATGTCCTCGGCGGGGGCTCGAACCCGGACCACTCGATCATGAGTCGAGCGCACCAACCACGAGGCCACCGCGCCTCCTAACATGCGCTGTTAAGGAATGTTATTTAAAACCAAAATCTTCCCAGCTGCTTTCCTTCCCCTCTGAAACTGCTTGTTCTGATCCCATCTTAGTCACCATTAATTCGTTCTATGTCTACTGCTGTCACAGCTCTATCTATTCGTCTTTCTTAGTCTGTACGTGTGCCGATTAAGGCCCTAATTCACTCGTTTTCCTTCAGAGCTCGTTCTTTATTTCTTAAAATGTATGTCATTTACATCAAACTGGCGACCTCCTTTTTACTTTTATACTAAACAGACTTTGAAACCTTGTAATTTCTTAATTGTCCTTTTCTTTTATCCCATCAAAACAGCACTAAATCCTTATATATACATATATATACAGAAAGTTTAAAAATTGCGGGGATGGACAACTTCTGACGTCAAAAATATAAAAAATTTTAATAAAAAACGTTTCGGTCAGAGACCTTC